TATTACCTCCTTTACGTCCTTTGTCTCCAATTTCGGAATATGATAAGTGACTGAGAAACCATCACAAATGCCAATTGATTCTAAGAAGCTCACTTCACTGGTTGTTCCTAACACGAGAAGTTTCTTTCCCTGAAAAAGAAGTTTAAAATTTTAAAAATCAATATATGAGAAACTTCATTTGAAACAAAGAAGAAACCGAAAGAAAATGCAGTATAATGCACATAAAAAACAGGAACAAAAAATAAAAAATTTTAAATTATCGGACAAGACAACAATGTTTGGGGATCTAACTTAAGAAACTAAAAGGTGCACATGCTTCTCCACACTTTCCATTTCACTTTGGAAAAGCATACATAAGGTGACAAGAAGACTCGCATAGAAAAACTTTCTAAATGGGGTTGTAAATTTCAAATTCAGGCAGACATACAATTTAAATAAGTTAATAATCTAGGCTTGAGCAAGATCTAGAGGCGACAACCATGTCATGGGCAGAACTTTCAATATTCAGTTCCATATTGTATAATAAGAAAAAAAAAAAGTGAATTGAGTCTTAAAAAAATTACAGACATGATCGATATCCCATTAGCCCAACCAATCTCTTGATCAGATTTTACTGTTAAATTGGTATGAAATTCTACTTTGGATGGTATTTCTTTCAATCATGAGAAAAAAGAGACGATATACCTTAGGAGGAAGACGTTTGAGGAGGGACAGAAGTGTTTGTGAAATTAAATTTGAAAAACGAGGTCCAATTGCAACAAACTCCAATAGCCTACAGTTAAGCATCAGCCAACCATACAGTAGAATATTATTCACAAATGCGAATTTAGTGAACATGAGTATAAGGAGCTCATAACATCTTAAGAAGCAAGGTTTTTAAAACCAGACCGGACCGGCCAGTTGAACTGGTCAGACCAGTATCGATAATGAAAATGGTTCGGCTTATATAAAAAACCATTTGATGTCAAAACCAGTCAAAACCGATGAAACCAGTAGAACCAGAAAAACCACCTGTTCAATTTCTCATGCAATCTTCTTTCTATTTTTTTCCAATTTCACCCTCACTATTCCTTTCTTATACCGATTTTAACCCTTAATTTTAATAAAATTACAAAATCACTTGCCCCTCTCATCAGATTCTCCCTTGTTGTTTGGACCAGCCAGTTCACCGGTTCAACTGGTTGAACCAGTCAAACCAAAAACCGGACCTGAAAATGGTTCAATAACCGGTTCAGTTTTAAAAACCTTGTTAAGAAGCAGTGTTACCTTTCTATGTCATCAAGGATTATGATACTCAAAGGTGACCTGTATGCATCCTCAAACACCTGGCAAAATATACAAAATTCAATTAGGTTTGAACTTTCAAAACATAAAAATACTTTAACTATGCAGCTCTCAAAAGTTGTCACCGACAAACCTTGACAATTTGTGCACATTTTGTACTCTCATGCAGACCAATCATTGATTCGGCTGAGACCTACAATAGTGAGAATATCAAATTATTAGGGGGAAAAAAAAAAAGAAACTTAAAAGGAGGAAAAAAATGGCCAATGTCAGACACATTAAACAGGGAACAACTTACTATCTTGACATAAGGGAAATCACTGTCAATGCCAACAGTAGCTGCCAATGCAGTTTTACCACTGTCCAGCACAAAGAATCAGAAATGGTTGGAACCTAAAAGAAGAAAGGGAATAACAAAGAAAAAGTGGCCATGCATACCTGCCACTTGGTCCTTCTAGTAGGCAGGTGAGGAGTGGGCTCCCTACACTCACTTTAACTTGTTCCACTAACAGCATGGCTCTTTGATAAATGTGTTTATGACGATTACCACAGTCCACTATGCCATTAAGTCTACAAATTATATGTGTAATAATTTAGGAGAAAAGTTTCAGAGATGGTTTAAATACTCTAATGGTAAACCTCCAACGAAGTATATATCTATTTAAAGAAAAGGAACAAAAAAGTGTGCCTTAAAGAAAAGAAGAATTGTACTAATTTCAGCTGAAAATGTCACCTGCACCGCTCAAGGTCATCAGTGGAGGCTCCAAATGCAGGAATAATCTCTTGTAGTGCATTCAGAAAATCACTCATGGTAACCTTAATGCTCTCTTCATCCACTGGCTTTGTAAGATCATCCATACTTAGCTGTCTATTCAAAGCAAATGATACTGCACTTTTCACAACACCTTCAAGCTCAGCCCCACTATAGTTTTTTGTACGAGCAGCTGGACATAAAAATAAATTATTAGAGGCCTTAAAAACTTTTGGAAGTCATGGATAACTTCGAAGTTGTTGTCAACAAGTTAAATATTTCACACACTTTTAATTCACATAAGATGTCAGGACACTACTATAATGACAAGTCATCTTAGCTTCCGAGGCATTAGCATTTACTTCAAAACCAGATATGTTTTTGAAATCATTAAAAATGCCATGGTTCTTCTTCTGGGAAGTGGTCTTGTAACACATTTGGCACAACAGACATCTTAACTTTTAAATCTTCCCCTGGCACTCCCATATAAATGAATATCCAAATCGAGCCAAAGATATTATAGAATAAAATGAGGCTAAGAGAAGTAAATGAGGCCAACAAAAGTATTCATCTGAAAGCTGATGTATAATATTGAGAGGTAAACCAGGGAGGAAAGGGTAAACAAACAAAACTAACAATGCCAACTCAATTGTTATAGTCCCTCCAAAGTACTGAAGAAACTAAAATTCACAAACATATATTGACAAATAGACATACCAAGTTCTTGAAGGTCAACATCAGGGGCAAGAAAAGAATTCTCTTTCATCTTGTTTGTATGGATTTGAAGAATCTGCAAGCGGCCATTTTCATCTGGAAGGCTAATCTCCACTTGAACCTCCAAGCGTCCCGGTCTACATCCCAAAAGATCAAACATTAGTGTAAATTCTGGCAAAGCTACTAGCAAGTAACTCTTCATACAATATCAGTGAACTAAAGACCCATACATCAACCAATAAACTGTATAAATACAGACACATATGATGATATGAAGTAATGCATATAGGAATGCAAAGACCCACTCCAGGACCTTGGCCGTATAACTTCCACGTACATTTTGTCATTTTCTAGACCACAGGTTAAAAATCTCATTCATAGGTTTTCCATATGTTGCAAGAGAAGCAACAGTTTGTTAATTGACCATAGGAAGCATTACTCAATTGTTGCTTTGAATAGCATAATCCACAATATGTTGGGGAAGTTTTAAAACCATTAAAACTTGTTTCTAGTCTTTAGCTGCTTCCGTGCCTCTTATATGATCATAAAATGACAAGGTACAATTCAATAACAGAAACTGAAGGAGTGAGATTGGAGATAAAGGAAGGAAGGAAAGAGCAACCTTAAAAGGGCTTCATCGAGTAAATCTTTTCTGTTGGTCATTCCAATAAGCAAAACATTATTTAGAGACTCCACGCCATCTATCTGCAAAGTATATAGCATCTTAGTCATGGTAATCACATTATCCACATGCTAAACATGGAGCCTAGTGTTGTTCATAGAGAAAATGGCTTAAAAATATTGATTTGTTAGATTCAGCAAACATTTGAAACTGGTATCTGACCTTCGTGAGCAGCTGATTGACAATGCTATCGTGAACTCCTGTACCATCTCTAGTTGATCCTCTTGACTGAAAATATCAAACAAATTATAAATTACACTGTTCCTTTTCATGCAGGAACTCCAATCTTATATTCAATTACTAAAGCCTTGGCATAAAGGTAATTAGGCCTCTTGGTAGCATACTCCTTGACAATCAAAATATATGCTGGTATTTGATTGAAATCTATTTTTCCGTGTAATACACACCCTTAATTATGTTAGCATCAATCCCACATGCTCAACAAGCATGCAAGGTTGAAGAATATTTAAACCACTTTAGCAGAATGATTCTTGGACTTAAACTTTAACCTAAAATGGATGAAACACGAATTTTGAAAATAAAATTATCACCAACAGAGCATATGAAAGAAGAACATCGTGTTCCCAATGAGATGGTGAACAGGAAATTACAGGCCATGACCTTCATCATGCTACTAATAGACTGAATATCATACAAACACATTCAACAATATACAGCCATAGCCTTCAAAATGGCAAAACGTCAGAAAGGTTTAACACATAAGGGATAAGTATTGCAAATTATAGTCCTCATCATCCTACTCTCAATCTCAGAGCTAAAGGGTAAAACATAGAGCTGTTAAATCCTGTACCTTACAGATTGCATCAATTTCATCGAAAATTATGACATGCAAGTCACTTTGGTCACCTGAGATGTTAAGGACGCAATGTATTGTTATACAACTAAAACTAATCCAAATAAAGATAACAAAGGAAATAACATGTAAATATCCCTTACCACGAGTCCGTTGATCATTCTCAGCATCAGCAAACAGATCCCTAACATTCTTTTCCGTTTCACCAACAAATTTGCTTAGAACTTCAGGGCCATTTACGATCTATATGATTCATCAAAAGGAAAAGCAAATTATAATAAGCCAATACAACTACATACTCTTTCACTAAAAAGGCTCATTACATAACAAATAATGTTTCATTCCAGACATGTTCAAACAGTTGACAAGTAACAACCTGCAAAGCAGAACATGGAGGCACTAACTCCAAAAGTTAATACAATTACAGAGAGAAAACATGGGCTTCCAAAAAAAGCAAAAGAAGAGAAATGAAAACATCTATGGGTTGTTTGATTTATGTGGTATGGTGTAAATAAAAACAGTAGATCCTGTCAAAACCTTTGGTTCCCTTCCATTCAACATCTTTCCAATTTGACGGGCCATAAGAGTTTTTCCAGTACCAGGGGGTCCATAAAGTAGCATGCCTTTAACATGCTTAATACCCAATCTGGAAAATCAAAGGCTTTCTCATTAGAAGACAATACATAGCTCCCCAAATACAAGTATGAAATTTTGAGATGAAGGCTATATTACTTGCTAGTCACGTGAGGAGGAAAAACCCGCGAAGCAAAAGCTCTTCGAAATATATCAGCAAACTCATTACTTAAGCCTCCTATACCCAGTGACAGGAGATTAAATTCCTTCTGCCTGAAGATGTTGCTGCTGGCAGCTTCGCGCTGATTTACAATCTGAATGGCAGAACAGCAAGTTATTTAATAAATCAAGCCGGTCAAATCAAGATAGTCAAATTTTAGATGAGATGAGTGGATTTAATTAAACATAATCTCTATGACTCAGCTGATATTAAATAAAATTCAGCAGGATAGAAGATGAAATTAAACTTCAAAGGAATGGGCACACTTACAAACCTTTATTCCACTTGAATTTGATGCCTCATAGATAATATATGTCTCCTTTGAAATCATCCCCCTTTCAACACCATTAGATTTTTCTTGCCCCTCTAAAACAGCTTGATTGACTGTGAAAATATAATTATTCCCATGATACTCAAAGGAAGCTCTTTGGCCTACTGTCATAACCTGCATATGAGGTGACCAATATTCAATGATTTTGAAAAATGTGACTCCCAACTCAGAAAGAAAAAACAGAGGCCATGATAAATAAACATCAGGCAATTTGATCCATTCTAGATGCACTTATGCAGTAGGAAAGTTTTTGCATGTCTGACAGAGGAAGAAGGAGAAAACAAAATAGCATGTATCATCAAAAAAATCAGAGTCATAAATCCACCTATAGTGACAGTACCAGATCTTCTACTTTGTTTTCCCTTGTCCCTACTGGCAATGTAATAATTATATGGGAACCTGTTTTACAGTCCAGACTGCACCGAACTGTAAACCAGGGACCATTGGACGGGGAGGAAGGCCCCCAATATTAGAGGTCCCAGCCCCATCCAATGGTTAGTATAATACAGTCCGGTACAGTCCAGACTGCACTACACTTTTTCATAATTATATTAACAACTGGACAAGCAGTCTAAGCCAACAAATTTAAATTGACAAACAAATGAACTTCTAATCTTTCCTTACTTTTACATAT